CAGAGAAACAGACTGAAGAGCCAAAACCAACTGATAATCCATCACCACCCCAAAAGGAAAAACCACAACCATTAGTCCTTAAYCAGATTAATATTCCTCTAGAAAAGGATGCTGCAAAAGCAAAACAAACAGAACCAAAGAGAGAAACACCGTCGCCAGTATTAGACAAAGAACGACCAAAACCTCTGGTTCTGAACCAAGTCACCCTGCCTGACAGAACAGAGGCTCCATCGGTACAGCCTAAATACACGTCCACAGAATCAACACCCAGTGAGACAACTATTATTACTTCAACATCTGTCGGTAAGATATTCATGGTTAAGAAGGTAGATGAGTCTGAAATAGCAGGAAAGCTAGCAGAAAAAGGCCAAGAAACGACAGAGAAAAAAGAAAGTGATGTTGCAAAGGTGGAGAAACCAGATGCGGATAAAACTCTCGATGAAAAATCGAGTACGGATAAGAAAACTTTTGCAGAAGTAGTAACTGGATCTACGYCTGTAGAGGCAAGTCATAGCGTTAATATAGCAGATACCTCTCATCATTCAGCTGCTGAAGAAGACAAGTCAAAGGATGATGCATTGTCCTCTCAAGCTCTTTCGGTTCAAACCCAAACAAGTTTTGATTCTCCACTGCTTATGGATGCTATAAAAGCTACCAGTGCTCTAATGCCTTGTAGCGAATTATTGCCTTGTTCAGGCACTTTTAATGAAATTGTTCCAAGCGCATTGTCAAAAACTGATAGCGAAACTGAAGAGGTTGTCAAAGGTCGGTTTGTTGTAAAGTCTGTCGACCAAACGATCGCTCCAGAAGGGGCTTTACAACGAATAATCTCATCTACGGAGACCACAACAGCCCATGCGTCTGAGGTAACAAAAAATACTTTCGTGTCTCAGACCTCGGAYACTGTACCACCCACGGTACCCCAAGAAGCCCCTGTGGCTATCCAAGCTGCTGAAATCACACTTCAGGATGTTGGCCAGTTTAGATACGAGTCTCCACCAACGCTCACTCCTAGCTCATCAATGGAGAGCCTTAACTCGACATCTTCACAGACACAAGCCAATAAAGATAACAACCATTCGTCTCAGTCTTGTATGATTGAAGGCATATCTAATCCTGCGCAGATTCAGATGGCTTCTTATAGAGAAGTTCGCAAGCAAAGCTGGCAGAGTGACTCCTCTACRGAAGGTGTCATGGCTACTAAGCCTGTTCCTAGTAGACATACAGGGGGAACAGACAGTGATGGTGGCTCCGGTCAAGCCAGTTGTTCATCAAAACAGGTACGTACGAGCTGCTTATTCAACAGTGTGAATTGTATTAAGGTGCTTACACACAGTGCAACATTGCACGCAACATTGCAAGCAACAAATTTGAATCGGGGTGACACACATTGCAACAAAATCACGCAACGTCGCTTGTGTCAGCCTGCTATGTTAAGATATTTGGTCAGCATTAATAAATTTGGTGCAAGCAGATTGGCTGGAAATTTCAAAACGTTGCAGGTAATGTTGCAGCCATGTTCACATGATGAAATTTGTTGCGCGCAATGTTGCAAGAGTAGAGCTCGATTCAACTTTAGATTTGTTGCATGCAACGTTGCGTGCAACAAGTTTGGGGTAGACACGCTGCAACATTCCTGCTGCGTGCAATGTTGCATGCAATGTTCCACCTTGTGTCAGAACCTTTAGACGCATTGACAAATGGTCCTCGAATGAATTGCATTAGACGCATTGACAATTGGTCCTTGGTTGTAAATTCTTAAAATTTTGTTGAACCCGGAAATAAACGCTATCTGGGCTGATCGAAGTCAAAGTACAGCTATTTCACAGATTGAATCGGAATTTAGAGTATTTGGTTTTGCAGAGGAGAAAACCCCTCGAGTCAAGGGAGACACCTAACAAACTCTATTWGCCAACATTACTTCGACGATACGGCGGCCATCTAGCTAGGGGGCAAAATAAAACTTCTTCTTTCTTTTATGGGTAAAGGTGATCGATGAGCCGTCTTAATTTATTGTTTGTTGCATTTTCTTGTGGTGATCTGTTAATATCAATCGATGTCATAATTGTAACAAAGCATTATTTGCCCCTGGACGCCCCATAACGCTTTTCAATCCAAGGTTRCCGCCGTATCGTCGAAGTAGTCCATTTTATATGTATTTTTCCTTTGTAAACAGAAGAAACCAAGAAACCGTTCCATTCAATCGCAAATTTCRATAGAAGTGGCAGCCATTACGTCCCTAGAATTGACATCAGAAGAAGAGGAGGAGTTTAAGAAAATTCGAATAAGGTGAGTTTTGAATAAATTATGTATTGTTACGCTATGTATTTTGTATACTTTGTTGTTAGCCTC